GGGGGCAAGGACCCTGATGAAGTGGATTATATTTTGATTCCATTCGGGAACCTTGTTTATATTTGATTGCCAGGTACTTCCGCTCATTGTTTGCAATGCCCTTCGTTGTGTGTGCTTAGTGTGTGTGGCGTTTTCCTGGAGTCATAAACACACACACACACACACACACACACACACACACACACACACACACACACACACACACACTGGGAGTGTCGAAGGCTGAGACTCGACCAGAACACATGCTGGTGTTACTACTATGCAAATGGATCATCGTGTCAGCGCTTGTAGTTTCCACTTTGGGGGCCGTTTTCCGTAGTCTGAACATTTTTTGTTGGACTGGAGTAAAGTTACAAACTAAGACCCAACACATCCCCCCCCCCCCCTACACACACACACACCACCACCTCCCCGATCCCTTTTGTGCTTTATATGAATGCCCTGACGTGTTTCAAAGTCTAGTTTTCTAAATGGATCAGTACAGTATAAAGAATTTGGGGAGGGGGGGTGATTGTGCCGGTGGTTGGTGGGTGTAGTGTGTGATGTGGTAACGTGCGTGTGAGCAAAGCTACCACGGCTTTTTAATCAGACACCTGAACATTTATCGTTGGCTGCTCCCAGAGTGCGACTTGCACTGGGGGGTGGGGTGGGGGCACTTCACAAAGAGCCCAACTACAAGTTTTTAATTCCTTCATCACTATTTAAGCTTTTAATTTTTTCCCTGAGGAAGCATGGCAACTCTGATCTGTCAATAAAAAATCTGTCTGTTCAGTCTCAGATGAAGAGTTTAAGGATCTGAACCAAAGCAAGCTGCCCCCCCCCCCCCCCCCCCCCACCACCAAACTAACACTTCAGCCACAAGTGGGAGAAAAAATCTAATGATGGACTCGTCTCGTTTTTTTTTCCTGTAAATTAATATTTTCCAATCGGAGCCAATCAAGATGGTGCATTAAATGCTCCGCGATATACAACCCTCCCTTAAAGTACATGTAAGGTGGATTTCATTGATGGACTTGTGTCCCCTGTCCTTTCCCTGAAGTCCAACCCGTTTGTCTCGACCCTGTAACAACGGGAGACTTGAAATCGGTGAAGGAAGTTGTTTCGATGGGTTAGAGTTGCCTGCGTCTCTACAGCAAAATCTTACATGCAGTAAATTGAGTGTCTATGGATTAAAATCTGTACATTTCAGTGGTCCAACGCTGCCTCGTGTCCATGTGTCCTTTCTCTCACCGGCTAACTGAACGTCTCGAGTCACTGGTTCAGACTGGTGCACAACAAAGGAACATGGACCGTCACTTTGGATCGCTGAGATTTTGTAGATGCGATGTAATATGAGCACCCTGTTGCGGGGGGTTTAAACCAGTGGCTGCCGTTTCAAGATGGCAGCCCTCCCACTATCCTGACTGGTTCGTGTGAACGGCGGCCCTCAGAATGGACACTCAGCTGCCGGTGACCAGAGGGAACCGCTGCCTAACGTTTTGTGTATTTTTTTTTCCTTTTTTGGTGTTTGTTTGTTTTGAACATTTTTATGTAAATATATTTTTTTCTATTTCATTTTTTAATAAACATTTTAAAACTGCCAGTCACTGTGTCTTTTATTTTGAAATGAAACGTTTGATACACACTGACTCTGAAGGAAAACTATAGTATAAACGGTACCTTAAAGGTTTTTTCTTAACGCTCGTTGAAAGGTGGGTCACGATATGTCGCTACATCGGTAAACTTTCTTTTGTCCCACACGTAACTTCTGATCTCCAGATGCCTTAACATTTTTCATTCACTAGGTTGTCACGTGTGCTTTTCATCACCTCAGCTCCAAGGTCAATGTTTCACGAGGTCCTTGCTTGTCTGAGCCATTGCTACAGATTGCTGTATAAAAGCTTAAAGAGTATAATGCCAGTCACGATAACAAATTTTGCTGGGCGATTAATTGTCTCAGAAATTATTGCGATAAACGATATTGTTGGAAATTTGACAATTAGTAATTATTGTCAAATTTAAGAAGAAATGTTGGTTAATTTTTGTGTGTAATACCTTTTTTTGACCACTGGGTGGCAGTATGACTGAGCCAAATGATGGATAGTGAGGGAGTGAGCAGCGTATCTCTTAAGAAAAGGGACAAGATGAAGGTTTTTTCCTCGACGTCTGCCTGTTAGCTTAGCTTCTCAGCTTAGCTGTTTTTAATGATCCAAAAACGTGATTTTGGACGGTTACAACGGATTTCAAAGAGAAAGGGAGGGGTCAGTGAAGAGCACCGGAGTTGAGCCTTTTGTCATCCAGTGTCTTCAGTAGAAAGAGAGAGACGAAGAAACAAAGCCGATAAATGAAAATGGTTGATAGTTTTCATTTACCATGCTATAGTTAATTGATTTATTGTTTATCATGACAGGCGTAGTATAATGTGCCGTTCTTAGAAAAGCAAACTACATGATTTTAGAAGTGATATCAAAACTTTAGAGTGGGATTTTGGACGCAGGTGTTGCCTTAACTAGGTGTAGCATCTGTCAAAGGTCA